TTAATAAATAAAAATAATTTTTTGAATTTAATTAAGCAAAAATTTTTATTATATTATCAAGTTAATAAATACAAATATTTAGTTACAAAATAAAAATATATATAATCAATACATATAATAATAAGAAAATTCTACTTATATTTTATTACACTTATTACAACGTTTAGTAATTAATAAACAGTACATATGTTATACTATAATTAAAAAAAAAAAAAAAAAAAAAAAAAAGTTTTTTAATAAATCTTATGTAATGAAGAAAAATACAATTTAAATTTTAAGATAACATAAAAATATAATGTAAACAAACAATTTACCAGTATTACAGAAAACCGTCATTGGTTGGATATGCAGCGGTACATTAGGTGGATGTAATCAGAGTACAATCGCATGTACAGCAGCCACCAAAAATGAATAAAAATTACATGAAGTCGAGAAAAAAAGTGAAGCAACATCTATTGGACACAATCGACAAAATAAGGAATGGCCAGCAAGACGAAATGTGAATACCCATCCAAGAGTTGACAGTAAAATTCAAGTGGCAGATGGTAAAACTAAGAAAGATAGTTTGAAGCGGCCAATACATCGATTGGCACCGGTATCAGCAGATTTACATTCGTCTACCACTACACAACAACAGCAAGCTAAAGAAACGCCATTAAAACGGCTAAAACTCTATGGCCTAGCGTTACTCATTATATTATGTCTACCACTGATATCAGCTCATAGGATCAGCATCACATCACTAACGCCAGGTCATTCATTGATCGGCGAACCGATAACAGCAATGCCAGAAACCTCCAGTGTATCATCGGGTTCATTGCCAACACGTTGGAAGGCAAGCGCACAAATTCAACAAAACTTTTGGTCAAGATGGTCAAACGAATACCTAAATGAGCTTCAGTACCGAAATAAATGGAAAACAGAAGCAGAAAAAGTTAAAAAGGGTACTATGGTTATCATAAAAGAAGATAACACACTCCCTACGGAATGGCCATTAGGGCGGATAGTGAATACCTACCCAGGAATTAATGGCAAGGTTCGAGTGGTAGATGTTAAAACCAAGAACGGAATTTGGAAACGGCCGATACATCGATTGGCATCGTTACTAGCAGATGCACATTCATGCACCAATGTACAAGCAGATCAAGCTGAAGACGCGCCACGAAAACGCGCAAAACTCGATAACAACAATCAAAAGGAGGGAGAATGTTATGGTAAGTTTTATATTAATTTTATTATAAAAATCAATTGTATCAACTATTATAATTGTATTATTATTGTATTAATTATATGTATTCATAAGTACTTTAAATTAGCTTCTTATGTTGTTTTTGTTGTTGGTTTTATTTGTGTTATCAAATATTTTTAGCAATGTTGCTGGCTCTCACAACTAAATATTCGCACGCTAGCAGCGTGCCAGACGTAACATGATCATCTTCACACGCCACTGTGCAAGGTTGATAAGCATTATGTTCATTTTCTTTTATCGTGTGCTCGTTGTGAGTTGCAGCAATAGGCAAGCCGCTGCGGCAATTCTGTTGTTCCCACAGGTGCAATATGAGTTGACGCATGACTTAAGTGATAACACATTTAAATCACCAAATTTGTGAAGCAGGTTGATATATGGCAAAATACGTATACCAGCTTGCTGGCTGTATTAAATAGTATAAGCATAGGCAATGCACATATTTCCCACGAGTGCCCTTGGGCTTGAATATTCAAAGACCATCGGATAACAAATCGTGGGAACTAGGTGCATTTCCTCCTTTACCATAAGCTTAGTGTTAAGAATTTTGTATAAAAGCACAACATTTTTCAATAAACATTTAATTCAATTTCAAAACCTGAATTCAACCAAGTGTTTTCTTTTGGTTTAAGTGCCTAAAGGAACTTTGATCAAAGTCGGTTTATGTGCCGAATTTGAAAATCAATAAATAATAAAATAAATAAATAAATACCTATATATATATTTACATATATATATAGCTATTTATAAATTACGTAACTGGTTCATGTGCCGGATTGCGTAAGTGAATTACTAAGCTGGTTAAAGTGCCGGATTAGTGAATCCGTATCAGACTAGGTACGGAGGATAACATAACGTGTAAAAGCTAAGCTAGTTCAAGTGCCGGATTAACTAAAATCTGTATCAAACTAGATATAGATCATAACACATATCTTCTCGTTTAGTCAACTTGCTGCAGCTAAATACGGAAAAAAACATACACAACCATATCAGGCATAGGGGATTCTACACTTGAAACAAACAAGGTTGTTGAGCTATTTACAAAATCACACTCAGGTGATTATTCAACTTCATGCACTGCGATCGTTACAACAACTATAACAGATCCTCAACCAACCTTTAATGTAGACATTTCTGGCTGGTCAATTCCAAACAACATCACCTTAGCTGATCCGACGTTTTTCAAATCACAGAGAATCGATGTGCTACTACGTGGCGGATTATTTTTTAACTTATTGCGTATTGGACAAATTCGTCTGAAAAATAATTTTATGTTGCAGAAGACAAGGCTGGGTTGGATAGCATCAGGTGGCGGTATTATTCCAAAATACAATCACTCATTTTCGTTAGCTACAGCTAAGAAATCAACCACTGAACTGGAATTTGAAAATGATAAATCATTAAATGAAATTATAAAAAAGTTTTGGGAAATAGAAAATTGTTTTGACGCGCACTCTTCGCTATCAGAGGAAGACGCATATTGCGAAACCCATTTTAAACAAAATTTTATTCGGTAAGATTCTGGTGTATATTCGGTTTTGCTTCCTAAGCAGCGCAATATCGACTCACTTGGAGATTCTTACAATCACGCACTTCACCGATTCCACAGTTTAGAAAGAAAGTTAATAAAGTTAATAATGCTGACTTAAAAACTCAATATGTTGATTTTATTAATGAGTACATAAATTTAAATTGTCGCCAGCACAATTACCATCGAGTTTTTTACCTCATCATTGTGTGCTGAAAAACGAAAGTACAACTACGAAATTGCGTGTGGTTTTCGATGGGTCAGCTAAAACATCCACTTTGAATTAATTATTCGATTCCGATATTTTAAAATTGCTCTTTGTGGAGAAATCTGTAAAATGTATCGATGCGTGTGTGTTACATATCCCGATGAATATCTTCAGTGCATTTTGTGGAGAAGTAATCTCGATGATGACATAAAGGTTTTCAAATTGGACACTGTTACATATGGAACAAGACCAGCTGCATTTTTAGCTATTCGAGCAATGCATCAACTGGCTCGCGATGAAGAAAAATCATACCCCTTGGGTTTTAAAATCGTTCTCAGAGATTTTTATGTAGATGATTTAATGTCAGGCAGCGACACCGTGGACGAAGTAATAAGAAAGCAAACTACTGAATTACTAAGAAAGGGTGGTTTCCAGATCAGAAAATGGTGTTCCAATGATCCAAGAGTATTGTGTGGTACCGCTGAATCCGAACGTGTACAATTATTGAAATTTAAAGATGGTTCTGATATCACCAAAGCATTGGGTTTAGTTTGGGATCCAAACCTCGACAATTTTTTATTTTCATTTACTCCAGTGGTAGGTAGTCAGCCAGTTAACAAGCGTACTGTTCTCTCAACTATAGCCCGTTTTTATGATCCAATCGGATTAATTGGACCTATCATCACCAAGGCAAAAATGTTCATACAAACCTTATGGAAACACAAATTGCATTGGGATGAGAGTCTACCACAAGCATTATACTCAGCTTGGATTGAACTTCACTCTCAATTTACTATTATCAGCAGTTTTAAATTCTCTCGTTATGTTTTATTGTCTAATTCTAAAGTGCAAATACATGGTTTCTGTGATGCCAGTCTGGACGCTTATGGTGCATGTATATATGTCAGGTGTGAGCGCTCGACTGCATTTGAATCGCAACTACTATGCTCCAAATCAAAAGTTGCACCACTAAAAACACTTACAATTCCCAAGTTAGAACTTTCAGCTGCTCTACTTTTATTGGAACTCATTGATATGGTTGCAAAAACTATAAATTTTACATGTGATTTTCATTGCTGGTCAGACTCAATGGTGGTATTATCTTGGATAAGTGAACAACCATCCAATTTTAACGTTTTTGTCTCCAACAGAATTAGCAAAATTCAAACTCTTACCTGTGGCATGAATTGGCATCATGTACCAACTTGTATGAATCCTGCAGATATCTTATCAAGACGAGCAGCGCCAGATGAACTTTTAGCCTCAAAACTTCGGACACAAGGACCTGAATTTTTAAGAACAACGCATTTACCATACATTGGCCACAAAATACTGTCTTCGTAGCAGAATTACCTGAACGACGTAGGAGAGTTCTAAAAACTACATCTCAGCAAGACTTAACACTATCCTGTAAATTCGCTAACTCATTTAATAGAATGCAGATAGTTTTCGCATATATTTATCGATTCGTGTCACTCAAACATAAAGAGACCATAAGGAAAACTGGTCAACTTGATCCTCAGAATATTGAAATGGGTACAAAATAAATGGTTTGTTTAAAACCATTTAACAAACTCATTTCTCGGCTGAATACAAAATTCTTAAAAAAGGAGAAAATGTTACTAGTTCAAGTAAACTTTACTCCCTCAATTATTTTATTTTTTCATTTGGAGTGATTCGTGTAGGTGGTCGACTAAAAAATTCATCGCTAAGTTTCGAGGCTCGCCATCCAATGATACTTCCAAAAACTCATGTTATCACAAACGCAATGATAATCTATTTTCATCAAAAGAACTTGCACGCTGGGACACAGAGTTTGCTCGCCACAATTCGTTTGCAATTTCGGCCTATTGGTGGTCGAAAAACTATAACACACGTTATCAACAAATATGTTCGTTGTTTTCGTCTTAAGCAAAAATATGTCGAATATATAATGGGAGATCACACTACTGGAATCGACTTCTGCGGTCCCTTCTATTATATTATAAATCTGAAGTGCGAACCAGACCTCCAGTAAAATGCTACATCTGTTTATTCGTTTGTTTTTCGACGAAGGCTGTACATTTGGAAGTGGTAAAAGATTAAACTACATCATCGTTCTTAGCTGCTTTGAAACGTTTTACTTGTACCCGTGGAAATCCCAAAATAATTTGGTCCGACAATGCTACGAATTTCGTTGGTGCAAGGAACGAGTTAGCTGAAGTAAAACAATTGTTCGAAAGTAGCCAACATCTTAAAAATATTCATCAGGATTGTCTAAGTGATGGCATAGAATGGAAATTTATACCACCTAGATCTCCACACTTTGGTGGTCTCTGGGAGGCTGCCATAAAATCAGCAAAACGTTTGTTTTACAGCACTGTCGGACTTTCAATTTTATCATTTGAAGAACTACGCACACTCGCATGCCACTTATCGACAGTGCTTAATTCTCGTCCTCTTTGTTCTATTTTAGAAAATCCAGACGATTTAGAAGTCCTCACACCAGCTCATTTTTTGGTGGGTGGTCCGCTAACATCAATATCTGAGCCCAACCTTACTATGTCTAACTTCTCTCGCTTAGACAGATGGCAATGAGTTAGTAATACACTACAAATATTTTGGAAAAGGTGGAGTGTGAACTACCTCACGCTATTACAAGAGCGTAGCAAATGGCGTTCACCTGCAGCAAATGTTCGTGTTGGGGATATAGTGCTAGTACATGAAGACAATCTCCCACCTCTTAAATGGCATTTAGGCCGCATCACCAGCATAATATGCGGATCTGACAATGTGACTCGAGTGGTGGAAATACGTACGAATACAGGAATTATCAAACGTGCTGTAAGGAGGGTGGCAATTCTTCCGATAGATGATAAATATGTTTAAAGTCAGAGCCTTTCAACCGGGGGAGAATGTTTAGAGTAGTAGTAACTAAATTCAATTAATTTTATTTTTAATTTGTTTTACATTGCAACACTGTTTTGTTCGAAAAGGTGATTTGCATTTCATTTTGCTTCTCTATATTAAATCTTTGTTCTTGCTTTTTTTTTGCCTTTTGCTTTGCATCAAAATTTGCAACTCTCTTACCGGTTGATCGTTAGCGAAGACACACGCATTTTTTGTTCACTCGTTCGGAAAAAACTTTAAATATGTAAAATAAAGTCATTGTACATTTATATAAATAAAATATTGTAAAAACAATTAAAAGTGATAAAAAATATTATCATTTCAAAACACCCTCTAATTCATAAAAAATGCTGTTCCCTTGCGATTTCGATTTATCGGGGTTCGACTGTATTAGAAAAAGAAAAAGCAACAGTAGACGAATAATTATATGCAATCGAACGAAATTTAACACCAACAAACAACAAACTTTACGTCAGAGCGAAGTTTAACATGGCAAAACAAGAACAACACGAAACATACGATGAATACTTTAACAAATTGCGTGGTCTCATTAAAAATGCACAATATGATCCGCTTGAAAATGATTTAATGTGAGATAAAATCATATGTTCAATAAAAGATCAAAATCTACGTGAAAGACTGTGACTAGACGAAAACATAACGCTAAATAAAGCTATCGATATCTGCAGATCAAAAGAAGTAACAGAAATACAACTTCGCGGAATTGAATTATTACTATTCAAAGTCAATAAAATTGACAAGTGCAAAAACCATCACGACAGTAATACCCAAAAGAGATTGTAAGAGATTGTAAGAGATTGTAAGTTTTGCGGATACGATTATCACGATAAAATCGAACAATGCAAAGCAAGAAAGGAAGTATGCAAGAAATGCAATAAAAAGGGCCATTACACCAGAGTCTGTATGTCTAAAAACAAAAACCAAAGTGACGACAAAATGACACAAAGCAAAACGAGACATGTTGAAAAAGTAACAACGATAAGAAAAATGAGAGAAGCCAGAGTAATGAGCAACCTTAAGAGTATGTTCTGCATATAGTAGAAGCTGGTTAATCAACAGGTATTTTTATAGATTTAATCATCTACAACAACAACAACAGTTGCAAAATAAGATGTCAACTGGAAACTGGCACGACATGTAACATAATTGTTAAAATAAGATTCATTAGAAATATTTCCAGACCTTGTTATGAGAAACACTAAAACAACATTAAAAACCCTTGACGAAACTCGTATAATGACAGCGGGCACAGTACAGCTAACATTAAAATAGATAGCAATATACCACCGAGAAATAAAGCACCAAGACGTATTTCTGTATCGTTAGGAGAACAGCTAAAAGTTACACTAGCCGAAATGGAAAAACAAAACATAATAGTAAAAGTGTACGAACACACAAATTGGACAAGCATTTTAGTAATTGTCAAGAAAAATAACAAACTGCGAATATGTATTGATCCAAAGCATCTAAATCAAGCATTAAAGGATGTAATATATTAACTATCAACAATAGAAGAAGTTTTAGCTGAACTTGCAGATGCAAAAGTCTTCACAGTACTAAATGCTAAACATGGATTTTGGAAACTTGAATTAGAGAAAAATAACAGCAAACTTACAATGTTTTGGACTCCATTTGGAAAGTATAGATTTAACCGTTTGCCATTTGGGTTACAACCAGCAATGGAAATTTTCCAAATGAAACTTAGAACAACTCTTGAACCGTTTAAAACAACAAAATTTAAAATTCAACAAAGACAAACTTAAGGTATGTCAACAAAATATTAAATTTTATGGACATATACTAACCAGTGAGGGTATAAAACCAAACCCTAATAAAACGAAAGCAATTTTGAACATACCAAGACCGGAAGATAAGGCTGAGACTATTAGATTTTTAGACCTTGTTATATATGTGAGTAAATTTATACCAAATCTAGCAACAATAACAGAACCGCTACGTAACATAACACACATGAAACAAAAATTTATGTGGGGAAAAGCTTTTAACAATTTAAAACAATTAGTAACAACAGCACCAGTTTTATAGTATCACAATATAAACAAACCAATTGTATATATAAACAGATGCGTCATGGTATGCAATAGGTTGTGCATTATATCTATATCTATATAGATATAGATATAGTATATCTATAGTTTACCTTACTCAATGTTAAGGCCGCCTTTGATGACTATTGCATTCATATTCTTCTAAACACTTATGTTCTGATTTGAATGAGCTAACCATTGCATTTTCGTAATTTATGGCATGAGTCAGAAAACGATACTTCTGACATAAATAATTTGACGTTTGAAATTTGGTTACGAGCTCATGTGGTGTCAAATATATTGAGACCACACAAATCAGAACACATGTGACATGAGACACATGTGTCATGAGACACATGTGTCATGAGACACATGACAAACAAATGCACAGTAAGTACTTACTATGCATTTCTTGTCTTAAGTAATGTGTCATTTATAAATAGGAAGTATATGAAAATTATAATTGTAAAGTATATAAGAATAACCAATTAGAATTAAGAGAATATTGTTAGATTTAGTTAACTATTGTTAGAATAAGATAAATATATCATTTAAAAATAAATAATGAAACTATTGTAAGATTTAGAATAAGTTGAGAGTACAGTCTATTGTAGAACGTGATCTGGCAAAGATCATAATAATATAAAAGTAAATGAGTAAATAAATAAAATAAAGTTTTCATATAATAAAAACAAATTAATGCGTTTTCATTAAAGACTATATCAAATCCCATCACAATTACAAGAAGAGCATCTAATTATTTATGCTAGATGAAATGGACGAAAAAGAAGATAAACGCATAAACAAACAATGGCTGAAGACGGAGTCATGCAGAGTCTGATCAACATAATCAAAAATGGTTGGTCAGAACAAAAACATTATGTACCGGAAGAAATCAAACAATACTGGGATTTTAGAGATGAATTAATAGTCAATGATGAAATAGTATTCAAAGGAAACCGAGTCTGTATACCAAAAGACATAAGAAGTGACATCTTACAAAAATCACATTTACCACATCTGGGAATAGAAGCTACACTGAAATTAGCTCGTGAAACAGTTTTTTGGAAAGGGAGATAAAGCAAATGATACAAAATTGTGAGGTTTGTAAATAGAATGTCAAAATGCAAAAACGAGCGCCAATGATAATAACAGATACTCCTACATCACCATTTGAAATAACATCGATGGATGTATTCGAGATGAACATTAACAATCAGAGAAAATATTTTTTGATAACTGTAGACCATTATTCGGATTTTTTCGAGAGTGATAAATTAAAAGATTTATCAACAAAAACTAGAATATATCTATATAGAAAAAACTTCAACAGATACGACATACCAGTAGTAGTTATTACAGAGAATGGTGCAAATTTTGTTAATACAGAATTCAGAAAATTCACAGAAGAGTGGGAATCTGAACATCGTACTTCGAGCCCATACCATCAACAAGCAAATGGTAAGAGCGAAGCAGTAGTAAAAATAGCAAAACAGTTGATAAAAAAAGCTATAGAATTGAACATTGATTTCTATAAAGCAATTTTACTTTGGAGAAACGTGCCTAACCAGATTGGATCAAGTCCAGCAAAATGAATGTTTTGCAGATGGCTAAGATACCAAACAACGATACAGAACAAGAAGTGATAAGAGATGTGTCAGAACGTATACCACAGCAGAAAAGATATACAAAGCAATATTATGATAAAGGCACGAGAAGGGATAACAATCTAAAGGAAGGAGATAATGTATATAAGTTAACACATATAAAGTTGATACAATTAATGCATGTGCAGACGATGGAATGCATAGCAAAATGATCACTAAGCATTTTCCCATTGAGTAATTCTACACTTGCACGAGCGTCCACAAAAAGCTGACGCTTTAAATTAATGCACTTGTCCGGTGCAATATTAAAATATTGTTAAAAGTTATAAATCAGTTTTAATAAAGAACTCAAGAAATAAAGATTCACATTCGTGTTTTCGTTTTTTGGTACTCTGAACAAAAGATACCATAACTGGCGCCCAACGTCAAAGTTGTTGTGTTTTATCGTTAAATTATACAAGTTATGAGCATTAGTAATAAAGCTTAATATAAAAATACTTAAAACCTTTCTTTAAAATAAAAACAAATAAAATAATAGTGAAAATTTAATACGTATGAAAAGCATTAAAAGTTTAAAATAAAATATTTAGAACTTTTCCTTTTAATAAAAACTTTAAAAAAACGAATTAGTGAAATAAAGAAAGTTAATAACGAAATTATATCACAGTGGAAAATTAATTATTACTAATAAAATTAAAATAAATGAAAATCACAAAAAAAACAATAAAATTCGACGAAATTAAATCAGAGTGGAAAATTAATTATTACTAATAAAATTAAAATAAACCTTTTGTTTAATAAACATTTTATTAAAAATTTTTTATAATAAAAATCAAAATAATAAAACAATAAAACGAAAACCCAATACTGTGCAAAAGAGCAGTATATTCCCCTAAAACCGTGAACAATGGGATTTTTTATAATAAAATCAACAAAACGATAAAACCAAAATCCAATGCTATGCAGAGGAGCAGTAGACTCCCCTAAAGAAGTGGACAATTGGATGAACAAC